CCTGAGACATGGGACAGGTGCGGTGACGGAGCAAAAAAGATGGTAGTCTGCCGTTGATGGGACTCGCGGTTCAACTTTTGTGGCAATTGAGCGGTGTCGACACCCAGCTATGTGTTTCTTCCACTTGGCCAAACGAAACCCGTGCGACCAAGTGGTTTGGAAAGCCGAGAGGGTTTCTAATGTTCGTATGGTTTTGGGCTGGATTCAAAGCAGTTCAGATTGCCTGGAGAAGCAGAAGCGACCGTTTCATCAAGGGACCTGGTGGGAGGCTTGGCGTTTCCAGAAACACAAGGCGCCTCACTAGTAGGAGTCCCCAAAATGGTCGAATTCCTTTCCCGAAGCCAAAAAGAAGGAAAAGCCCCGAAACAGCTGCACAGCTCGCAGGGGAAAGACACCCCGTCCTATGGGGAGTACCTGAACTTCCAGCAGTACACAGGCGCGCTTTGGCTCGCAGCTGCTGAAGGCTCAAGGGAAAGTGGGTCCTTTCTCGCTGCTTTCACTGCTTTGACCGCACCCTGCTGTCCAATGGCAATATTTGTTTTTCTATTTGTGTTTTCCATCATATCCAAATCTGCGAGCAAACCAGAGACCAGAGGTGTCCTTTCAGGGATAGATGGCATTGTTCGAGAGGGACATCCAAGGTGAGGCCTTGCTCAGTTTGGAGAATCGACCTGGTTTCCGTTTGCTCGCGATCATTTGCCAGTCGATTTTTTTCAGGAGGTCAGCAGCCTGATGCCAAGCAGTACTCCGCCCAGGCGCCAAAGGGCACGTTCTGCCGGCAAGGGAATAACCTTCCAAGTAGACATGAATCCATGTAAACGATGCCCACCCAACGGGTGCGCAATTGAATTTTATACCTGAGTCAGGTCTGTTGGTTAGGAGCCCCTCTTTTGTATGTTTGTCGGACTCCGGTACCAAGCCAGACCTTGTGTATTTATTTGTTTGGCGCCTACCGCCCCGGCGCAATTTCGAATGACATCTTCCATGACAGGGTTTGCTGCTCAGACCTCACTCATCCCAAGGACTTGGACAACTCAAGTTATCAAACGTTTGCAACTGAACAATTGGTATCCAACATGCACCTTGGTAAACGGAAACAAAGGCTACCTGCGTCCCTGCTATCCGGCCCCAGTTTCTGGACTTTATGCTTTTCGGGAGGGCCATTTTAGAGGCAAAGACCTTGTTGTCTTGCCAGTCTATTCAGGGAGTAGCGGCAGAGCTTCATGCGACCCCAAACAGGTCACGCTCTGGCCTGGTTTGTTGGAATAGACCAGGATTTTTTTTCTCTTCTTTTTCAGACGGTGAAGTAGTTCCCCTTGTGTAAAATCATCTGCGTTACCTCCAAACCACCCCCAAGCAAAACAACACAAATGAGGGTGCACCTATATATATATATATATATACATATATGTACACATACTTGACCTCCCAGAATGGGACCCGAGACATGCTTCATTCCGGTGTTCATTTCTATTTTTGAACTCTCAACACGGCTTGCGCTTGGGTCCGAACATCGAGCCCCAGAGCCCCAGAGCGAGCCGTTTCCCTGGAGCCGAGTTGCCGGAGCCTGGGAGGTCCCTTCGGAGTACCAAAAGTACTCGGAGCTATGGCCTGAGATTCGGGCCATGAACAGTGCCAATACGTCAAGGGGGCTGCGGGGCCAGCAAAACGAAGAACCCGGCAAAACGACTGGCTGACAGCTGAGGAACTCTGACAAAAGGCCAGTAGGAAATTGGCTCAATTGGCCGGAACAGGGTTTGGGGAATGAGGGTTTTTCCCACTGTACCAGCCAGCCTTTCTTTAGGAAGTACTTATTGAGGGCTTCCAGTATGATTTGGAAAGCCTTCCATTGGTATGAATTGGGTAGACTCCTTTGCCGGGCTTTGGCTTGACTCAAGGTCCTTGCTATGACTAAGAAATTCAACGCCCTGTTTTGACGCCTAGTGAGAGAAGCGATAGAATGTGAGCGCTCTCGCCCTGTCATCCTTCTGTATCTCTTGCCTCGTCCTTATCCTTCGCCATCCCTTGGATAGAGCGAGGTAGACGAGTGAAAGAGAAAGAGCATGAGAGCAGCATCTTTCCTTCTTTAAGAGCTGCTCTTGGCCATCTCTACATCCCACCTTTTCATTCCAGAATTTACCTTAGGACTGAATGGGATGTTGGATGGCTTCCTGTCTTTTCTATCTCTAAGACTCGCCTTTGGAAGGGACAAATAGGCAAGAGAGATAAGAGAGGTAAGTGAGTGAACGGCGAAGCCAGGCAATGAATTTCCTCTTCCCACTCTCTCTACCCGCTATTTCTCATGCCTTCTCCAGGCTTAAGAATCCATAGGAAGTGGCTGGAGGCATGGGAAAGAGAGAAGCCCGATTTCAACTAGAGATAAGATGCATGGGGCCGGACTAATAGATGAGACTCTTTCCCTTTCATTCTCATGTCCTGACCATCCGTCTCTCAGACACACAGTGGATGGTGACGGAGAGATGAAAGGGAAAGGAATGGGTGAGTGGACAATGGGAACGGTGTACAGGAAAAGAGATAAGACTCACCGTCCCTTGACCACTTCACTCTCTATCTATTCCTTGTGAACCCTTCCACATCTCTCATCCAAGAAGCTGCCAAGGGATGGCTAGCGATGGAATGAGAGAAGGAAGGAACAGAGACAGAGATTCATTCCTAACTCACTTTCGTAATGTTAAACATCAATCCCCACCGAAGTCTGATTTTCCGCCAGCTTGCCCTTTTTGGGCCAACCCCCGCAAAGGCCACGGCGGGTTGTCCAACGGCATGTTGCTCGCCCGTTTTTTGGGCCAGGGGACCCACGCTAGGTATCAGAAAATGATGCCGTCGGACGGCCGGCACCTGAGAGAGCCGTTTTGGTTTTTGATGTTCAGGTGAGCCACCATCAAAACCTGGCGAGATGAAGGTTAGTCCCAGCCAGAAGTAGTTGCGGATATCCGCCTTCTCAATTCTTGAAGGTCCTGGGTAGACCAGTCTAATACCGGGTTTTGTTGTGACTCAGGTCCCCCTTGGAAAGATTCGTCTAGGGGCCAGTTAGACAATCATGGTTTTGGGAGGTAGCCTTCAAACGCGCCCTTGCCAGAAGTGCAGATAGAATGCTGACGCATGATTGAACCCAAGAGGTGTCCCATTTCACCCTGGTTTCCTTCAGGTTTGGGGACGTATGGCCGTGGGGTCGGCATTACGCTGATGCTTTGTGGGTTTGGTCATCAAGCTCTTCAATGCACAAGGAATTCTGGCCATGGCCATACTGTGGATGGACGAAATCCTGCACCACTTTGAAACCACAGGAAACCATGGTTTGTCGGTATTTACAGGGGCATCATCGGACACCAGGTTTCTTAGGTGGTGCGAAATGGTTTTCGTCCATCCACAATATGATTCCCTATTGAGCGAGGTCCTGCTATGCTGGCTGCAGAGGCGCATGAGAAGATGAGTCTGTTAGGGGTGCTGGCAAAATATGCCAGTATGCGCACATATGGAGGTTCGGCCAAAGCCACCACTGGTTTTATGGTTACACTTGGGAGGGACATGGACTCAGCACATTTCCCCAAAATAACAAAGGGACACCTTCACAGCTCGTTTAGGGGAAACACGCAATTTCGACCATGGCTCATTTCACAATGCATTTGCACATGTGGCACTCCTATAGTTTCCATTTTCCTTGCGCCGACTAGGCCTCGCTACATCATAGAAATACCAGTGTAAGTATCATTAAGGGGTCGTGCACCAACATCCTATAAACAAAGGGTACATCAGGGGTATATACAGCATGTATTTGGGGCGCATTTTCCAAAGAGCCACGTAAAACAAAATAAGGAAAAACCAAACAAGAAGAGTCCCTCGATCTCGGACCTGAAGCAAAATGCTGTCGAGTGCGGAGCTGTTTGGGACCTGCCAGGTGAATGAGAGCGATGAGGTGCGCCATGTTTGTTGCAAGGGACCTGTCACTAGGTTCCTTGTTTGCGGGGCGGGGGGGAGGGTTGAGGCGCTTAGTGACATACCAGCTACGACTACTTCCCAGAGCATTTAAGCCGTGCAAGAGAAGACCCTTTTCGGGATACCGGCTGAGAGGAGACGCATGCTTCGCATGAGTCCGAGAAGTCTGAGAAGGAGAAATCGAAAGACAAGAAGCCCAAGGAGGACAGACGCTTGGGGCTACTGCGGGGGGTTGCTGTTGGGGATTGTGTCCAAAGGGAAACAACAGAGAAGCCGCCAATCTTTGAAAGTTTTCCCATGAGACGCACCTGACCTCTCCCTCACAGCTTGGCTGTGCTTGCCCTGACCGACTGTTGCCTGTTCTCGGGACTAGCTTTGCGCGGGTCATTGACCGGACACAAATCCTCATTTGCGTAATGTTGACCGATTATAAACCAACCCTCTGTTTATTAGTAGGGGGTGTCGGAACACCCCCATAGTAATAAACCGGGTTTGATTAACAAGGGGTCAACATCACAGCTGAAATTGAGATAACTATTGGGTCTCTGCCCAATAGATCCTCCAGAGTGGTCCGAGCAGTTCTGGAAGGTTCCGGAAGGTTTCGGGGCTGGGCGGATCCAGAAGGTTTGAGTTGGATTCGATGGAGGTTTCTGGGCGGATCGGTTGCGGAGGCTTGCGGGGGTAACCGACGCTTGGACAAGCGTTCCATGGCGGGGCTGGAAACCGCGGTTGGATCGGTTTCCGGAGTGCAGGGTTCCAAAAGGTTCCTGGGTGCTGGGGTTCCATGGAGGGCTTTGGAGGTAGCACGTCGTGGCTCCTTGGAGTGGTTGCTGGATAGGCGTTTGGAAAAGTTTGGAGCTTGAATCGTCCACCTGGGGATGGCAAGGATTCCTCGGCAATGGTAACGACAGGTACCGTGCTGGGTTCTGAACCGAAAGTGAGCTTCTGGCTTCTGGTTTCGGCCCGCCGTTTGTTTTTTGTGTGATCCCTTTGGCTTCCAGCAGGAGGCCAACAAGAAGAGCGGCGAGTCGACTCTTGGCGGCATGGCGTCCTCATTTTGCAGCTTTGTGACCTGAGACATGCCCCGCAAACCTCACCCCACGGCCGGCCTTCGGCAGCCTTGGGGACGTACCAAAAGAACCATTGGATGCATCCACGAGCCGAGGGGGGACCAGCAGTACATGGACTACAAGAAGTACATGGACTATCAGAAGTACATGGCGCCTCAGTGGCAAGTCGGAGGCTTGCTGAGTCACATCGACGACCTAAGTTCCATAAGTTAGACATATGTCCCAACCAGAAATCGGAGATCCGCCATTTACACTTTGCCAATACCACTTGCCTATCAGGTTCCTTGGCCCTCCGTGTGAATCGTGGCTTAATGGCTATGGCACACCCTTCTTACTAATCCAAGAACCAAAAGTCGGCTGAGCAACGCTCACTATTCACCATCAACTGCTGCAAATCGGATGATACCCCCGGCACACGAACCCCAAAGTACCAAAATCCAAGGCCGGGCGACGCCATGACTATGGCTCAAGTCCAAGTGGCTGTTGAAGACGTGTATTCCACGTCAGTCGCTTTGCTCCCTGTTGAGCTTGCAGAGGTGAACCTTGAATCATGGCCGTGAACAACGGTTTCCCTAAATATTGCAAGTGCGCCAACCACAAGACATGACAAATTACCATGCAATAACTTTGGGTTTGTCTCAAGAGAACCCCCCCCCCTCCCACAAAAAAAAGACCCCCCCCCCAAAAAAAAAGGAAACAGAAAAGAAAAAACACACGCACACACACACACACACAACAAGCAACAAGAGCAATACATCCTTCTGGCTTCCCTTTGGCGCCGTGCGGGGGTGCACTGGAATGGGGGTTGACCTGTTGTTTCAGTTCCAAAACCAAACAGACAAAGTAGCGGCACGGCTTCTTCCCCTGTGTTTTTCCATGGTTTCCTGAAAAGAAGGATCCCTGGAAAGAATGGGGAAGGTACCCCTAGAACACTTATTGGGACTCCCACTCAAGAGTGGTTGGTGGACATAAACCGTCCAAAGGGTCTCCAGTTGACATTGATACCCATTCGAATACTTGGGGTGGTTTGAGAAAGCCAAGGACTGGTCCAAGTACACCAGCGGGGGCGGTGATGGGCCTGTAAGCTACCAGCAGTACATGGACTACCAGCGCCTTGCCTAAGTGGCGCACGCTTTCTTCCCTTTCAGACTGCATCGGCGTTTCGGAAGCTTTTCGGAGAATCTTGCAGCTTGGAACTTTTGGCGGCTCTGTGGCAGGCAGGGATCCCTGTGCGTTTGTGTTTTTCTTGAGAGCGTCCCCTTATGGGGGGTGGCCAAGATTGCTGGTCTGTTGCAAGCAGGATTTATCAGACATTTGGACCTTGAAAATTGGCCCATAAGTGCTTGTCAGTTGCACGCTTGCACTATCAGACAGTGTTGAAGAAAAGGCCAGTCACCAAAAGTGTCTTGTCTGTTCCCAGTGTAGCTATTCTCTTGGCATCTTTCTTGTCATTCCTGTTTCAGTGTTTAGCATTAGAACTGAATTAGAATTCAAACTGAATTCTATGTGGAAAGACAAGCTGGTCGTTTATTCTGAATTGCGTGCCCCTTAAACGGAGAGACAAACCAATAGAAACTCAAAGGAAATGCAATTTCAGTTCTATTGGTCAATAAGTTTTAGATTGCACCGATTTAAGTTGAATCATATCTTAATTAGTGTTCAAGTTAACATAGTATGTTGAGTTATAATTTAAATAGGTTTTCCTTCCCAAGTAGGATTTTAATTGAAAATCTAGTAAGGACAGAGAAGCTGGTTGTTTCTTCTAATTTGCAAGCCTCTGAAAAAAGGAAAACCCATGGCAAAAGCTGATAGCATTACAATTTGTTTGCAAGGTTTACATTGCGAGGCTTGACTTACATTCAAATGGGTTTTTGATCAGACTTTACTTCATTTTATTGACTTAGATATTAGTCAGCACTTCCCTTCCAAGCAGGATTCCAATTGGAAGTTAATCAGAACCTTGAGTTTAACTGTTAGTTTTAGATGTGAAATGGGATCTTATCCAAATATGCATTCAAGAAGAATTTAGTTATATATTTGTTTTAGTATGTTTAAGTATACCGTAAACAGGCATTCCTTCCAAATCTAAATGGGATTTTCTTTCCAAACATGACTTTCATTTGACATGTGTACAACTAGACTTTTCAGCTGCTGACCGCAACCGAATTCTATTCAAATGAACTCCTTCCTTACCATATTATCCAGATTATGGCTAAAATGTAATTGACATGTTAGATACATGGAAAGGAAGTCCCATTTAAGTTCTGATTCAAAACAATAGCTATAGTTGAATCCGTTAGGATAAACTACCAGCTTGTTTTTCCTTACTAAGGCCCAGGTCGTGATGGCAAATGCTTCCTTCTCGCGGATACTTGTTTCTTCTTGCTGACCCCAAGCTCAAGACCAAAGAAACCTCGCGAAAGCCAAAAGACATAAACAACATTTCAGATTCTATGTATCCATGCTGGCTGAGTTAGGGTCTGACATTGTTTTTGGTTTTTTGGTTTTCACGAGGCTCTGTTGGAATTTTGAAAGTAGCAAGGAACCATACACTGAAAAGAACTACTAAATATCCCTCTGTTTCAAAAGCCCACCCCCCATGCGGGGCCCTTCTGTTTTTTTTAGAGCGACGCCCAAAGCGCAAACCACCATTCAGCAGGTTCTCCTAGTGTGTGACACATACCACTGACATCCCAGAGAGGGAATTTTCCTTCCTGCAACGCCTGCGCCGAGGAAGTACATGTCCCAGGGCGGCTCCGGGTCGCGCCTTGCCTGCACTGGCCGCTTTAGGTCTTTGGAGTGCTGGTTGCAGACCTGAGGCTAACACACATAACTCTAGGGGTTGATCCCCCATTCTTTTCAACCATCGTTCTTTTCAAGAACCGGCGGTTTCCCCTGAAATTCTGATGGTTTTCTGAAAAGAAGGATCCCTGGAACGAATGGAAATGGAAGTGTTCCCTAGAATAACCTGAGTCTGCGTTTGGTTTGCAGATAGAGGGGGAACAAGCGCAGCCTTTTTTCCACAAAGCACCGGTTTCCCAGAGCGTTGGCTTTTTGGCGCGTGACTATTTCCCTGGCGAATGACTATCTCCCTACCAACTAGCCTCAGACGCTAGGGATGCCGTGGTTGCAAACACGCAGCAGTGTGCTATTCCTTTGCATGTCGGGGATCCCCTTGCTACATGTGGGAAATGCAACCAACAGAAACTACTGCCTTTGGAAGGAGTCACTGTTCCCCTGTAGATTGGCTGCGTGATCCTTGGCTTTTACACTGAAGAGGACGTCCCAAAAATTCAGATGAAGCTTGACTGTTTGAGGCACTCAGGTCTGATGCTGCGCGTCTGCCACATGCGGCTCTCACTGAGGTATGCTGATTACTCCAAGTACATGAGCGGCAAAGGGAATCAGGCGACGGCGGCTGCCCCGAAACTCCCAATGCTGCGAGGACTGGCAGGAGCCTGAGTTTGCGTTCCTGTCTCCAGTTCTGCAAGCGTCACATAAACCGCCCTTGGTTAAAAGGTGGGCTTGCAGAAAATGCATTCTCCTTGCTTTCTGGGATTTCAGAGCACACCCATCCATACCTTTTTTCAAGTGTTTGCAGGGAGCGCTTTGGTCCGATGTTTTCGGCAGGCCATGGACTACCAGCACTTCATGAACTATCAGCAGTACATGAAGGGCACGGGCCAGGCAAGCTACCAACAAAATGGGCTCAGGAAGTTGAAGAAATGAACAAAAAGCACAACGGTGCGGAAGACCAGATTTTCCGAAGCCAGATGCCACCCAGGGGATGTTGGGGAGCTTTGGTTTGGTTCATTCCGTTCAATGCTTGGAAGACTGAATGATCTTGAGCCCCCTCACAAGGCCATACCGTCAGATGGGGGCTCTGGGCGGGCGAGTGAGGAGCGCAAAAAACAAATCATTGGCCAGTGTCGGAAGGGTTGTTCGACCTAAGACACACCTTTTTTGACCGGTGGTTTGTGCCAGGAGTCAAGCTCAAGTGCCAACATCTGTTTTCGAGCTGGCTGCCTTTTAGGTCATGTCACACATTTTCCCGGGGTTCTCAAAACAACGTTTGGGGTGGGTTTCGAGGCATGCGGTTGCCACTTTGAAGCCTCTCACTCGCAGGGTCCAGCCAACCTCCAAGCTGCAGGAGGCGCGGAACGAGTCGGTGCCGTGTTGGGGGTGCTTCCTTGTCCATGCGTTTCCACCAGCTGATCCCTAGAAATTGGGAAAGTTGCCCCTTAACTGTTGACCCCGGATGTCCGTTCCAAAAGTGATGAATCCCCCGAAAGAGGGCACCCCCTAGTCTACTGGGGTTTCCTTGACTAGGGTCTGGGACTAAGGCAACCATGACCAGGGCCCACATACGGACGGACGAAAGCCTGCACCGTTTTCGCGATGGTTTGCCAAAACCCTGGTACTCTCCATTTAGCATTAGAAGTTTGTGGATCCTGGGTGCCAACATGTTGCTTCTGACCGAAATCCTTCACTACCTTTCGTGAATACCGTGGGGGTGTGCAGCTTGTTCGGTGGCAAAGCGGTATTAGAAAAGCGGTACAGGATGTCCGTCAACCGCATGGAGCGTTTTCCGACCATGGCCCGTGTTTACCAAAGCTCGCTTCAGTGGGAGTGACGAGATTGTGCAAGCCCTGCGGCATTCTGTCAAACAGACGCGTCTGCTGGGAATGATATGTGACACACACACAGGTTTTTGCTTGAGTCGCCTTTTGGACCACGACAATGTGACATTCGAGAACGCAATGCGAAAGAATTCCGGCTGATTGTATGACACTGGCGATCATTCAGTTCGTACCTGGCAGCGGCAAGGGTTCGAACATGCGCTCACCAATCTGTGCACCGTCGTTGAGAAGCCCTCGGGATGTTTTTTACGCTTGGAGGGATGTCGAATGAAGACGCTTGGACACACATTGGAACGTGCTCCGATGTCATTCATGAGCATCCCCTGCACGAGTTGCATCCGTGGAGCAATGAGGTGATGCAACTCCAAGTAAATGAATTCTGTGTATCCTTCACCGTGTGGAGGGTGTTTTGGTTGTCAAGCAGCCATTTGTTTGGGAGCTTTGTTGATCATCTTCGCGGCTAGGCCATTCCATTTCGGCGCTTTTGCAGCGTTCTTTAGAACTAAGATTTGGACCATCAGGTGTCCCCCTAGAATGGTTGGTGTCCTTTTGGTTGCCCTTCAAGCACCAACCAAAAGGGTCCACAATTTTTCAGAAACTCCAACGAGCAAGAGCCAACACTTGAACTGTGAGCCCTAGGCGCTGGCGACTACCAGCTCCTTGGTTTGAGAAGGACTTGAAATGTCATGGGTCGTAAAGCCCAATATCGGATCCATCAAGCCTAGTTCCACCCAAGTTGCCAAGGGTCTGTGCCTAGTTTGCGTGCCGCGTTGATTGCATGACATGGGTCATGCTAGTTTTTTCTTACAAAAATGACTCGCAAATTCATCAGACAGCTTGTTTTCGCAACTGTTTCTTGATGCTTTGGCTGCCTTCCAAGGAAGTACATGGATGATTACCAGAAGTACATGGACTTTCAGCACTACATGAACTACCAGCAGTACATGTCAGGAGGAGTGAAGGGCTGAAGGGAACATACTTGTAGTGGCGTCCAGAACTAAGTTGGGACTGTTTGAACAACCCTCAAGTCGTGTTGGGCCATGTCGGCTATGTTTAGTGAGCCAGCGCTCTTCCAGGGTTCGATTTGGTTCAAGTTTACCTTTGAGTAACTTTAGCAATGCCTGAACTTCTGTGAGGTTGGCACTGTCACCCAGTAATTTAGACACGGAGTGCTTGTTGTTCCTCGGCTTGGCTTCTCAATTCGCGCTAAGCCAAAGCGCTCGCAGGTCCGGGAATCGGACTTCACGGTAGCAGACTGTAGGGGGATGTTGGCAAGGCGAAAATGGGTGTGGCTTTTTTGAGGGTACCCAGTTGTTGATAGTTTTAAAGGGAAGCCAAAAGGACATCATTTTGCGAGGTCACCTAAAAAAAGCAAATGGAAATTAAAGAGAAATCATTAAACCACCAATTTTGGGTTGCCCCACATCCCTATTTCGACATCGTGCAAAGGAATCTCGGGAGCAGTTACACCAGTCCTGTTTGCAAAGAGAAGCCCCGCGACCGGAGATGTGCTGAAAGTTGGCGCCGCGCCAAATTGATTGATCTCACATTCTTCAGTTGAGAGTGTTTTTTTTTTTTTTTTTTCGTTTTTTTCCGACGTCCTTGATGGTCTAACGCGAGGGTTGTGGGATTCGAACGCTCAGACGCGGGCGGTAGGAGGCGCCGGATCCAACGCTCAGCGGCTCGGCAAATGAGTCTCGAAGACGTGTGCGGCCAGTCAACACATGGCTGCGGGTGAAGAGTAGGTACTCAAAATGGCACCCTGGCAAAGGGAAGCGTAGACCTGTGGTCCCCTGTTGGCTTAGTTTGGACCCATATCCACCTCACCCAGACAGCTGCTGATTTAGAGGATCCGGTTCCTTCCAAAAGCAGGTGGCCTTTGGATGCATCCCTTGGAGGGAATCCGGCTATTCCGACTGATTTCTTAGGGGTTGACTCCAAATCTCAAAGTGGTGAACAGCTCGTTGTTGACGGGTATTGGAAGGGAAGCCAAAGAGAAACGCAAACAAGCTTCCAGGGGTTGATCCCTTGTCCAGGCACTGCTTCTTTTCATGAATCAGGAATGTCCTTTCCGCTCGGCAAGAACGATGGGGAAGTTCCAGTGCAAAATCAATCCGGTTTGCCGGCTGGAAGGGATCCCCCGCGCGGTTCTCCTTGGAGCTTCGTTTTGGCGATGCTGAAACGGGGGAATCTACGGAGCCTTGTTTGGCACCCCCTTTGTGGCATCCCCTTTGCGGGAACTGACTTTTTTTTTAAGTGGCTGCGGCAGTACATGCCGCAGGATGACAAGCAGAGTCCTCATGGGAGATTCGGCCAACCTGTGCCGTGGTCGTTTTGGATCTGCAAAACCTGGGATGGTCATGGACTTTTGAGAAGGGATTTGGCAGTGGTGGTCAAAACCAGTGGGATCCCATTTTGGGGTAGGTGAATTCACCACCCATTGTAGAACCTTTTGGTGGGCATTGGGATGTTCAATGGGAGTACGGGCTTTTGACCCATGGCCATTTTGGAAAGTTGTAAGCACTCGTATTATAGGAACCACCACCATGGCCTTGGAGTCTTGACCGCGCATGTGATGCCTGGATGATCCCATAATAGCGGGCCTTAGTTCTGTCCAAAAGCCGACGTCCACTTGTTTCATCCACTTTTTTAGTCGGGGTCCCCGAAGGCTTGTCATGTTGCAAATTATTTTTGATGGGCAGGAGGCATTCAGCGCCCTGGATGAAAATTCTGGATAGAACCTTACCCCGACATAAGGAGGCTTATAGGTGGGTTAAACATGGTCATCAACTTACTAACTCGGCGGAACAGCCACGTATGCAATTTTAAGTTCTGAACCATCCCTGCCTGTTTGTTGGTTTCCTTTCTTGGGCTCTTGTTTTTGGGTTCCCTTTTTGGGTTCCTCAAGCATTGTTCTACGACCTGTGGCAAGGACTTTTTTAGGCTTTAAGACCTCGGCTAGGTCCGGTCCTGCGGTGGCGGTGGCCTCATTAGATGGCCAGGGTTCGGGGAGGCTGCTCTGTGGCCAGCCACAGAAGGACTGGCACACAGAAGGAGGGAGTTTGGCCTCAAAATTCCAGCCAACGGTACCCATGTTGACCGTGGCACGCACGGGGAACATGCTCCCAAACGGCTGAACATAAGGCCCCAGGTAAATCATGTCCAGCAAAAGTCCCCAACTGAAGCTTGCGTCCATTGTTTTGCCACCTTCTGCCTGCTCCGGCTGCATCTCGGCGCTCCTCTCTTCCAACTTTTCGGAAGGAACAAGTCACCAACTGATTCGGAGGATCTGGTTTTTGCAAAGCCGGGCCCAGCATCCATCCCTGTTGTCAAAAGCCCCTCTACCCCAAAAAGAATCCCCGTTCAAGACAGCCAGGCCCAGTTGCCACCAGTGTCCCGGCCAGTAGAAAAAGAAGAGGAACCGGTTCTTTGCCTTTGGTTGATTCGTGGCTCAAGAGGTGATGACTCCACACCAGAGAGTATTTGATTTGGGCGTGCTTCTTTTTTTTTGAGGGCACCTCTTTGTTGTGGGTTAAAGGAAAACCAGTAGGACAACCACCATGTTGTGGGCACACCCATTTGGCTGGAGTGGCGCGGCGAAGACTGAGGCCATGCTTGCGGCAGACGGCAAGTGCGGTTGCCCAATGCCCAACTTGGAGGCGTTCGAGGCCAAAAACCAGGCTGTGGGTCAAAAATATGGTAACCCCAAAATGGAACCCTGGTAAATGGAAACATGGACTAAAACCCGCAGTCTCCTAGTGGTTTAATTTTGACCCACACCCAGGTAGGCAGCTGCTAGCAAGTTGGCGCTTTTGGTGGTTTCCCAGGACCCGAGGACAGGTCCCAGCAGTCACAAGTCGGCCAGCCCCTGTCCCACTTCTTCCCTGGTTCAGACCTACGAAGTTGCTTGAGGGGGGATGCCCAACAACAATCTGTATATATATATATATACACATATCATAGCAAGAGGGGGAAGAAGTTGGACAGCCTGCAGGTGCAGTCTTTAACCTTACAACGGTTTCGTGGTTTGATGTGGTTGATTCGCTTGCAAGATTGAGAGAAAGCAGAGATGCTCAAGCGCTCATAGGT